TGCCATCCGTGTGCTCTCCATCTGTCCATGGGTGCCATGCATGTGCTCCCTGGCCTGCAGTGCCACAAAATGTGCTCCATGCCCACCTGGCAGTGCCACGCGTGTGCTCTCCATCTGTCTGTGGGTGCCACACATGTGCTCCCTGGCCTGCAGTGCCACAGATGTGCTCCATGCCCACCTGGCAGTGCCACGTGTGTGCTCCTGGTCTGGCCATCAGTGCCACGCATGTGCTCCTTGTGTGCCCATGGGTGCCATGCATGTGCTCCCGGTCTGTCCATCGGTGACACGTGTGCTCCATGCCCACCCAGCATGTGCTCCCAGTCTGTCCATGGATACATGTGGTCCCAGTCTGTCCATCGGTGCCACGCGTGTGCTCCCAGTCTGTCCATCAGTGCCTTGCGTGTGCTCTGTGCCCGCCCAGTGGTGCCACACGTGTGCTCTGTGCCTTCCCGGCAGCAGTGCCACGCGTGTGCTCTGTGCCCACCTGCCAGGGCCACGCGCCTGCTCTGTGCTGGTTGGGGGCACGGCAGGGGGGCGTCCCGGGGGCTCCCGGCCTCGCCAGCAGTGGCAGGGCCGGTGTGAGGATGTAGGTGCGGGAGCCAGGAGCCTGTGGGAACCTGGAAAAGGAATTGGATGTGTCAGGGAGCTGTCTGAGGCCGGTGCGGCAGCCTTCGCTGCCCCTCGCCCCATGCCAGCTGCACCGTGCCCGTCCCACAGATCCCCGAGGTGGGCACTGAATGCTGCAGGAGCTGAGCCACGGGTTGGCCGTGCCAGAGGGGGTACAGTGAAGAACAGGGCATGCCTGTGACACTGGAGCATTGAAATTAATTCTTGAAATAAGCCATGGTAAATCACGTTGACCCTTTCTACCCCACTGGATCTCTGGACACCTCTCGAAAAATTCCCAGCATCACTATCCAGTTTGGACATGATGCTGTTGGAGAGGGACTTGGGGAGCACACAAGGTCTTCCCAGTTTGGGTTTGCTACCACAGAATACAGGACGCCTCCAGGACCTTGCCAGTGCACTGCAGTATTTTTGCTGACCACTAGAAATAAGATGGACATCCTTTCAAGCCTCAGTCAGCCATGGAGGCACAGCATCCTCCGGGGACTGCCGCAAGAAGCGGTTGGGGGGGATGGAAATGGCAGAAAAGAGACGGATATTCTGCCCAGTTGGGGCTTGGTGGGCAACTTTCTGGCAAAGACTTTGCGGATGAAGTCAGGGTCAGCTCTTAGCCTGCTGCAGCACATGGGCATCCACCCGCACGGCGCGAAGCAGTGAGCGCCTGAACTCGGCATCCAGACCCTGCCGGCACTGGGGTGGCCTCAGGGGCGGGTGGGGTTTCCTATGAGAACTCTATGACCAGGCTTTGTAGGCGGCGTGGTGGCAGTTGGCTGTCCAGGAGCGCCAGGGAAGCACTCGGCGTTGGAGCTGGGAGATGAAGAGTGAGGAAGAGCGCGGAAGGACGCTTTGCTTTCGCTGAGGAGTTGCTCTGGCCAGGGGCAGTGCTGCCACCTTCACTGTGACCAGGCCTCCTGGCCAAGGTGGTCACTGACTTCCCCACCTTGCAGTTCAGCCTCTCAGGAGCCAGGGGGAATGTCCCCCACCGCGGGCAGGGACAGAAGCTTCTCCTGCCTCAGCCCACCCATCTGAAGCTGCGGTAGGAGGCTGCATGTCCATTGAACCTGGATATTTTCACATGAACAGCACCAGTCTGGGTTTTATCACTGCCGAATCATGACGATCATCAAACGTTAGCTCCGTCAGCACAGGGCGGAGCGATAAGGATTGTATTTTCCTTAATGATTAATAGAGACCCCCCCCTTGGCCTGAGCGACGCTTTGCAGGGTGAGGTGTCAGCTGAAGGGCCTGAGTCTGTCCCAGAAAGGGGGAAGGAAGAGGCAGAGGGGGGGTCAGGGAGGAGTGAGGGGCTGCATGTGATAGTCGGTCATCACAGACTCCCTGAGCCCACGCACCGACAGTGGCCTGTTTGGGCGGACACCTACTTGCCACGGGGTGGGCCAGCTGCTCCAGCCACATGGTGGGCATGGCTGATGGAAGGGAAGGACTTTAGAGGTCTTCCCTCCGGCAGTGGCTGGCCTCGGTAGAAAATTGCTGGAAACTGCAGTATTTCCAGGGAATGACCTTAGTCCGGCACACGGCGCTCACTGGGCTTGGTGCCTTTGCTCCTCTAGATCTGGCGAGCTACGCCCTGCTAGCCTTCCCTCGACGAGGTGCCTCCTGCCTTCCACCTGGTTTGGTTTGTTCACAGTCGCGGGTAAGCGCCTGGTCTGCTCCCTGATGCGAGTGGCCGAGCCTCTCCGGTCTCCTGTTAGGAAGGTTTGGGGCGATACAGAGGGTCACGCTCTGGAGAGCAGGGACAGGAGTTCCCCCAGTTTGGGAAGGCGAGGCCAGGCAACCCACAAACTGGTATCCTCTGGGCAAGGTGTTTGGGAAGACCACTCACACAGGGGCTGAGAGCTCAGGTCAGTATTTTAGGTCCCAATCCGGCAGGGATTCAACAAGGGTTTAACATGCTCTGCATGAGCAATCTCATGCCGGGTTATAATGCGTGGATATTGAGGCCACCCTTGTCCTTAAGATAGGGAACAAAAAAAAAGTGGAAGTGTTCGGTGGCGCTGGACCTTAAGCTGTCAGTTCTGGATGATGGATACTGGGTGGTGTACGGCACGGGGCATCTGCTGCAGGCTTTTCTATAGACCAACACGTGATAACCCCAGGTCCATGGCCGTTTATACTATATGAATGAAAGTTGTTCTCGGTAATTTCCAAC